CCCAGGGGATGCAGACCCCGCTGCTCCCAGGGGTTGCAGACCCTGCTGCTCCTTGCTCCAGCCCTGCAGTGGTCCGGAGCAGCCTGGCTAACGTGCACATGCCATTACTTGGATCAGTTCATCGATTTAAACCCTCTACATGAACACAGTTCAGTGGGAGCCCCTGCATGCTCTGCTCTGGGTCTGTGACCTCTTCCTGCTGTTCTCACCACGTGGGTTCTGATCACCCTGAAGCAGCACAGCTTCCCCCAGTTGTTCAGCAGCCATGTGAGAACCATCCTAAACCATCTCACACTCCTTTGGGACAAAAGACCTGCCTGGCCAATTATCACCTTGGAGGCCAAGTGCTCCGAGCAGTTTCCTAGTACAGACTGAGCAGGATTTAATGTGCTTGCGGGTTAAAAAGTGCACACAAGTCTGATGAGTCTTTATTTTCTTCCATCAAGTTTGCAGCCCCTTTGTTCAGGCAGCCAGATGTTACGCCAGACCTGTGAGAAGAAGGAAGAAAGGTATGTCAGGGTTCATGGGGCCATGGGGCAGGATGTTGCAGTGTTGACACTGTCAGAGCTGTACTTTAGTGCTGCAGGAAGAGAGGGTGTTTGGATAAATTAGTGGTTTTCACCATAAAGATGCAGAGCTCATTATGAGAAGAGAGAGGAAATACAATCCCTGCTGCAGGATTCTGCAGCTTCTGGGTGGGTGATCTAGTTTGGGACATACAGTCTTGTTTTCTTTGCAGCTTGTTTCCTCTGATCTAGTTTGCAAGTATGTTCAGAGCTGTGACTTTCCTCATGTGTTCATCTTCTCTGTAGACATCCCCAGCCATTTGGATGATCTCCCTCCCACTATGCTGAAGAAAGACTATGCCAGTGTCCCCATAATAGACAGGTATGATACAGGGAAAGGGAATGATTGTTCTCTTCAGAGATTTTTTTCTTGCACAAACACAATCCCTGGAAGCTGTCACCTGCTCAGTCATTAATTAATGTTCTCAGGCACTGATAAACAATTTAGCACAAAAACTGCTAAATTGTTTCAAAAGTCAAATTTGCAAAGGCAGCCACTGTCAGGCTTTGGTTCCAGAAGTGCTGCAGTGTGGTGCATGGAGGGCCTCCAGTGGCCTAGCAGAGACTTTCACAGATCTTGGAACGAGCTGGTCTTAAAATTAATTATTTTGTCTTTGTGCACTTGCTTAGAGGTTAATTTGCATGTCGTGGTTTTGGGATTGATGAGACTTCATCATGATCTGAAACACCAGTGCTGCCCTCAGCAGCAGAACTGCTCCATGCTTCTGTAGTCTCAGCTGTGATTTTTCTTTGGAATGCAAGAAACAGTTTATGGCTGACAGCTCTGGGAGGGGAGGAGAGCTACTGTGGATTTGTAGGGTAAACTAAAGTTGAGAGAAGTTAATATGTTCTGAAAACCTCACCTCATTTTTGCTGTTAAATATACTTCATTTCTATCTTACAAACTAACCTGTGATCTCCTTGCAGTGTTGATGATGTAGTGAGAAGATTGTTGTCACTGGAAATGGCAAGCCAGGTGAGTTTCATTCTCCTGGCATGAAAAACTGGAAGATGTAGTGAGCACATTTGTGTGAGACATGTCAGTGTTGGTAAATGCCCTTCACTTGCCTTAAGTGTTCCTCAGAGACTGCAAATCTGGGGCTATTAAATACATGAGAGTGGTAAGTCTTGTATGCCCTTAAAAGTTATTATGCAGGCTTCTTTATAACGATTGCATGTTAAAATGAGAGGAGGCAATCCCAGAGGAGTTGAGCTTGCTGTGTTACTGCTGGTGCTTGGCCTGTGTTCCAGAAAATAGTGCACTGGGCAGCAGGTGTTCTTCAGATTACTTTGACATCTTGTCTGCCCAGAGAACAAAGTAAGCAAATCCCAAGGCAGCAAAAAGGTCTTCCCATTTCTTGCTTCTTACCACTTCATCTTAAAAAGATGTGGCAGGTGAAGCTGCTGCCATGTGAGATCAACCTGAGTTCTCTCTACTGGTCCCCAGAGCAGCAGAGCCTCTCCAGGACCTCCTCCAGGTCTCCTGTGACCCTGGGGTGAGGGGGGTCCTGGGCTGGGGTCTGAGCCGTGGCCACTGTTCCCTGCTGAGACCTGTTGTGCCCTGAGCTCTGTCCTGCAGCCAGCAGGGCCTTTCTGGCAGCACTCTCTGTGTTTTGTGGTGGACACTGAATGAAGCTATTAATTACAGGCCTTTGTCTTGGCATTGGGAGAGAGAACTGGGCTGTTTCAGACCTTTAATGTTCCTGAGAAAGTGACAAGCTCTTTTCTATTATCCACAGAGGGAGAAGATGAAAGTAAAGACACAGCAGCTGGTGGAGAAGGTCAGGAGGTCTCCCAATGACAATGGCTCCTTTGAGGTGCAAGGTAAGTTAAAAAAGTAGAATGATATTGTTGGCAGATGATACATCTGCTTTTATTCAGCTGTTCCCACCCCAGCACTTCAAGTTTCCTGCATCAGGAGGAGAATCTCCTTCAGGAGAGCTCCCAGGAGGCAGCAGCCTGCCTGTGCCTGCAAGGCCTGCTGAGGACATTGCAGAGGCAGGAGCTTACTGGCTGATGCCTGCTAGGGTGATTTCCAAACTCCTGCTCCATATCCACCCTCTGAAGGCGGCACGTGCATTGTTCTCCTTGGAGAGCCTCTGTGCCATGGAGCACTGCACTGCATTCCATCCCAAGTGAGCTGCCAGATGCAGCCATGGAGCCCTCTGCCTCAGAGAGCCCTGGCTGAGGGACAGTGCAGGGCTGAAGGCCACGCTGCTCTTGACCAAGTCACACTCCTTTTGTCATTGATAAAGGCTGCAAATGTCTCAGGATGCCACCAGCACCTTTCTGCAAAGCCTGAAGTCACTGAGGGCTGGCTGCTGCTTACAAAGAACCTCTGAATGTGTGTCTGTTCCTCAAAAAGCTTAAACCAAGAGAAGTTAAATGAATGTGAAATCACCAGTAATTGAGTGCAAGAGGCATTTAACAGATAATCCATGTCATCTGTTGTTAAAATTTTAACCTGTAGTTCAGCAGCTTCATACTAGTGCTGCTCGTGACTCACAGGTTGTAGCTAGTGGTTTGTTTTGCACTAATCCCAAGGGCTATGTGGTGGTACTTGCTGTGGTGCAGTGGGTACCCAGGAGAACAGCAGCCCTCAGCTGGCAATTTGAAAGGAATGCAAATGGTACTGCCTTGCCCTGGGAAGCTGCTGCTCTCACATGGCTTCTTGTGTCTGCTTTTCTAGTTGCTATTTTGACTGCCAAGATTCGCACGTACGAGGAGCATCTTCAGAGGCATCCCAAGGTAACCATCAGTAACCAAGCCCACACGTCTGAGGCAGCAGCTGTTGAGGTTGTTTGCTCAGTTTAGAACAAAAGTATTTTAATTCTGGGCCTTGTGGCTTTCCCAAGAAGGCTTATAAAATAGTTATAACTGTTCCCTGCTGCCAGTCTGGGAAGCTGCTGGCTCAGTCACAGCGACATTCCCACCGACTGGCATGTGAAGTGGGTTCTTTTTTGTCACTGTGCTAGTGGAAGTGCCTGAGCAGATACCTCTGAACAGCTGAGCTCATCCTTGCTGCAGATGTGGCTTTGCCACTTTGTTCTCCGTGTCATTACTGCTACCACTTCAGCAGCTGGGCTCCCTCTTTCTTCTTCCTGTGGAAATGTGTAGCAGGCAGGGCTGTGTCAACGGCACAGTGACACTTCCCTGCCTAAAGCTGCCTGGGTTCAGAGCCAGACTAGGAACGTCTCAGCTGTGAGTTTATGAACAAGGTTTATGAAAGGCTCTTTATGCAGTGCAAAAGCTGGGAAAGGCATTAATCAACTGCCTTTGAAAAACGTGCATAACTGTTTGTTAATCATAAAAGCCTGAAAAGTAAAACAGAACAGAGCTCAGGTTTCATAAGCCAGAAGCTGTGCCAGATGTTTCAGCAGAAGGGACCTTTTGGAGTTCTTGGATGAAGTCTGCATTTTCCACACACTGCTGGTACAGGATACGGAAATTCCTCCCACAGGGATTGCCCAGAGTGGCATGGCTCAAGCTGTGCATTTTCTCTTTCAAAGAACAACCCCAGTGGTCAGATAGAACCAAGTCACATTTTATTTTCACATTTAATTTCAGGAAAGGCAAAGGTAGGTGCTTCTGTGTTGTTTCTGGAAGAATACATTTCAGAGGAAGCAGAGTTCTTAGCCAGTAGAGCTTCCCCACATTCTTTATCTTCAAGCCGTGGCAGCTTTTGCCACTGCCTAAAGCTGCACACAGGTTGAAAAGATTCCTTGGGGCGGGGGGGGAGGTACAGACACAGGACAGAAACCAATTTCAGTGAAAGGTAAATGAAGTCTCAGAACTCACAGTGACCTGATGTGCTCGCAGCATCTGCCAAGAAAATTGTTCTAAGATACTGTGCTTAACCTGCTCCCTTTCAGCCATAATCTGGTCTATTTTTGTGCGTAATCCGCTGGGCTGGCGGGGCAGCCTGCAGCCTGGTGAGCACTCAGTCCTCTGCAGGACAAGAGCAACCGGCGCCGGATGCTGATGGACGTGGATCGCCGCAAGAAGCTCCTGGCCTACCTGCGCCGCGTGCGCTACGAGGCCTTCGAGAACACCTGCAGGCAGCTGAACATCCAGCACAGCCCGTCCCCTCCCTACAGCCGCCGGGTCACCAAGCGCTGGCTGGTGAAGAAGGCTTTCTGCATCAAGGTACAGGCTGGAGGGAGCCACGGGCTGCCTGGGAACACGGCCCTGTGGAGCAGGGTGCGATTCCTGCAGCTGGAAGTGGCTGATCCGTCGGTGCTTTTAGCCCACCCTTTGAACTGGGGGAGACTGGTCATGGTTCTGGGTACTCCAGGATAGGGAGGACATGGAGGTGCTGGAGAGGGGGCAGAGAAGGGCAGCCGGGCTGGTTAGGGGTCTGGAGAACAGGTCTGATGAGGAGAAGCTGAGGGAGCTGGGGCTGCTCAGCCTGGAGAAGAGGGGGCTGAGGGGAGACCTCAGTGCTCTGCAGCTCCCCGAGAGCAGGTTGTGGTGGGGTGGGGGGTGGCCTCTTCTCCCTGGTGGCGGGACAGGAGGAAAGGGGTCAAACTGCACCAGGGGATGTTCTGATTAGATACTAGGAACAATTTTCTGACTGAAAGAGTGATGAGGCCTTGGAACAGGCTGCCCAGGGAGGCAGGGGAGGCACCTGCACTGGAGGCATTTGAAAACCAGGTGCACGTGGTGCTGAGATGGTTTAGTGGCCAAGGGGGGTGTAGGGCTGAGGGTTGGACTTGATGATCTTAAAGGTCTTTTCCAACCTTGATGATTCTGTGATTTTATGTTCTTCAAGGTGTTATCCCTGCTTCTGGATCCAGGGCTGCCCAGGGGGGCTGCCCCAGCTGGCAGAGGTGATGCTGCTCCAACCTTCTTCCCTCAGCCTTGGCATAAACACAGAGAGCTAATAGATATTTTTTCCCCCAAAACACTGGTCCCAGCTGAAAGCAGCAACCCTCTCCCTGCCCCTCCTCCTCCACCCCCTGCCAAATAGCCTCCTTTGGATTAGAGTCTGAGAGCCTTGATAAAAATTAGCTTTTGCTTTTGGATTTTTGGAATAATATAATATCTGTAATTTGATATTGTTCTGACTAATTTTCCCCTCTGTTTATCAGGGAAAGAACAGACCACAACGAAAATTAGGTTGGAGGGAAAAAGAGAAGGGTTACTGTCACATTTTCGTTTTTCTCTGCAAATTTAGAAGCTATGAGTAGGAAAAAAAGGCAGGAGAAAGCATTTATTCATGTTACATTAGACTGTGGCAAGAGAGGGAAATCATCATCCACAAAATCCTGACAAATCTTAAAATAAAAATGCTATTTCTTTAACTTTCTGAAATGGGAACAATTGTAAAAGTACAAATGTTTTCCATTTCCAAGTCTCAGCTGGTGCTACAGATCTGCAGCAGATAAACCCACAAAACATCCATCAGGCCAAACCTCCCGTGTCTCCTGCTGTCGTGGGGTGAGGCTGGAAGCTGAGGTGCTGCCCCTCCTGCCCTCCCACCCATCTGGACACAGGGGCACATCCCTCCCAGGGCTGCCCTGGTATCAGTGGGTCCTGGCACCACAAACCCCTCCATCATGCCTGGGCTTCTGCAGGTCCCTCTCTCTCCCCACAATCCTTGTTTTAAACCCAAGCTTAGCACAGAAAATATCATTGCCCTGTTTGGGGAGGCTGATCCATCCCCAGCACGAGGGTTACTGGGGTGCAGGGGAGCACCCAAATCCATGGGCTGTCAGATGGTCTCTGAGCTGGTCCCAGAAGATTGTCAGGCAAAACACAGAAGAAGTAAACAGAAATGGAGAAGTTGAAGTGATGTGCTGATGGGAAGAGCTACAAAAAAATCAGCTGAAATTCTGGGAAAAGAAATAGAAAATACTCTTACATCTTAAAAGTCACTGCAGCCAAAAGCTCAAAAGGTCACAGGTTTTGCATTTGTCTTCCTGCTGGAAGGTTTGCTAACCACTATTTAAGCAGGGTTCCTGTGTGAGGAACGGTTTCAGTGGCAGGGCTCGTTCCTCACTGGGAAGAGCAGAGCTTGGCTAATAACACCTTATTTTGCAAAAATATCCCCTTCACTGGAGTGTGTGTGAACAGAGCTTTGATTTGAATGAGGATTGATAACTGCCCCGCAAAGCAGGGCAACTAAACCGGCAACTAACCAGAGCATTTATAACTAAACTACCGAGCTGTGCTCTAAACTGTAAACTTATCAGCCAGGCTGATTAGTTTGCAATAATCTGAGGAAAAGGTTTGTGCTTTTCTGCCCAGCAGAGATAGATTGTCAAGTCATAAAGCCTTCCTGGAGCAGGAGCTGCACGCGGGGGCTAATTGGTGTAATTACATCTGATAAATTGCCAACAGCAACCGTTGCTCAGCACAGAGCTGCCTTCCTGGTCCCTGGGAAACATCCTTGTCCTGGGGTGAAGGGGTGACTGGTGCCCTGAGGCTGCAGCAGGATGAGCCCTGGATCTCCCTGGGGCAGGAACTCCTGGCTGGTCCAGGGGCCACGATGGGGCATCCCAGAGAGCCCACAAGCCAAGGCACTTGCCCCTCCATTGCACTGTGTCCCTGGGAAAGGTTCTGCTCCCCCAGGGACCGAACACCCCGCGCTGCCCCCGAAGTTCTGTGTGTGACACGGGATGGAGGCGGCCGTGCCGTCGGGGAGGGACAGGGACAGGACAGGGACAGAACAGGAGAGGACAGAACAGGACAGGGCAGGGCAGGACAGGGCAGCATCGCCGGCCCCGCCGCCCGGGGCAGCAGCTCCCTCAGTAATTAACCGTGTGTTTCTGGTCTGAAACGCCAAGTAAAGCCTTGGGTTAATCGGCTCCCACGGCGTTTCTGTGGCAGGGACTGGAGCCATCGCTGAGGCCAATTAGTATCTGCTGTACAGATAAGGTGGAGCTTGAAATGCGTCTCTGTGCTTGTTTCAGGGGTTAGAGCTTCAGAAACATTCCAGTGTAATCAAAAAGAGTTGGGATTTGGGCACCTGAGCTCAGGTTCTGGGCGGTTTCAGGACCAGGTTGCTTTGCAGTCGGCAGTGGTTTCCAGGAGGAAGGTTGTGAAGCCGGTGCAGAGGAGCTGTGCACAGCTGGGAAACACATCCAACAGCTTCAGTACTGCTCCTGAAACCCTTGTCTGGCTTTTATGAAAATCTGCCAGTCTCACAGGTTGTCAAAATGATGGTAAAATTAGAGCCTGGTGTGTTCACACGCGGGCACAGAAGTTCCAGCTCTGCTCCTCTTCATTTACCACTTGTGCAGTAAAACTGTTTGGCTTTAAAGCTGCAGCTTCCCGAGCTGGGATGGGGCCTCAGGAGCTGCAGAGCTTTGTCATTTAAAGTCAACTCCAGATTAACTCAGTATTGAAGAGGTTGTTACCTGTTTTCCTTCTCCTGCCTATCCAGCGTGAAGAGGTGCTGAAGAGAGCCAAGGTGTTGCTAGAGGTGGTTAATTATTCGTGTCTTCAGAGAATGAGCTGACATGAGCTTAGCCAGACATGATGGGATGTTTCAGGAGGAGAGTGAGAGCTGTGCTAGGTTATCCACACATGGATTTTATCTTCCAAAAACCAGGTGTTAATTTTACAGAGAGGTGGTTTCTTCCATGCTGAGGTGTTTGTTAATGCTTAAAACTGTTCACTTAAATATTGTTCACTTGGAAGTGCAAAAAGCTGCTGAAAAAATTTCCAAGCTAAATGCAAAACATGGCAGAGGTTCAATCAAGGGTAAAATTTTGCCTCCATTGAAGCAACAAGATTTTTCCAGGGCAGGGCAAGGCTTCTTCTTTGATTTGCTGCTCAGAGGTGCCCAGGAACAGCTGAGCTAGTCCTTGCTGAGCAATAATGCTGATGGGAAAAACCTAAGTCCACTAGCTAGATTTTTTGTTTCTTTCTTTCTTTGTTTCTTTCTTTCTTTCTTTTATTCTCTTTGAAACTATTGTTCTTACTTCTTGAACTGGTGTTTTTTGTTTTATATGCTTCGTGTAGATGAATGGACAGATGGGGACAGGAAACGAGGTACTGTACCTGCCAGCTGCATGCACAGACACAGCACCACATGCACACCTGAGGCTCATCGTGTGTGACTGGCCCTGCAGCCCCTAGTCCTAGTGTGCAGATGAAAAATAATACCCACCTCTTCACTAAAAGGCACTTCACAGATCTTAGAAAAAAACAGGCAACCACTTAAGATCTTATGGCTTCAAAAATAAGTGGCTGACTTAACCAAGACTATAAATAGAGCAAAACTTTTTCTCATAGCAGTCTTTCTAGCCAGAATTTAATTTGCATTTTTCCAGCACCACATTCATGTGAGCACATGATGCTGTGAGCATTGGCAAGGTTGTTTTTCTGCTTAAACCCAGGTGTATTATCTGTGCTGCATTTTTTTCTGATTCATTGCTTAGGGCTTGGACAGGTGAACTCCAGGAAAGACTGAGGGCATTTCCATCCTAGCTGCTTATCCATCCCTGCTGGTGGCCACCACCCTTGCAGCAGAGTGACCCCAAAGGTGCAGTGCCCACCCTCCAGCCAAGCTTACCTTGCCTGAGGTTCTCCTGGGAGGTGGGTGTGAGCACAGACTCCTGCTGGCCTCTGCCTGGAGAGGGGGCCTCCAGCAAAGGGGGAGGAGGAGCTGAGTCAGGAAATAAATCTCTTAAACTGTCTCAGGTTTTTTTTCTAGGTGAACATGAGCAGAACTTCCTGAGCAGCCCTCTTTTGAGAGGGAACAGGGTTATGATCCATGTTTTTAAAAATACACATCACTTGTAGGTTTGGAGTATTTACTGGAGGTTGATACTGATATCCTGGAGTTTGCCCTGGCTTTTTGTTGTTGTTGTTTTTGCCATTACATGTTGTTTCCAAGAACACATTTTTGCACCTTGTAATATCTCAGAGGCCTAAAAGGTTCCATATTCCTCCTTTCTCACACCCATGAGGGTGGCAGTCACAGGGGAGCCTGGTCACAGCCAGATGGTAGCGGCACAGACATAGAGCCCACCTTGACCAGTCAGCCTGTCTTGTGACAACAAAAGGTTTCCTGTGAGCTCTGCTCCTGGGGACATCTCTGAAGGGTGACACAGTCACCAGCCATGGAACCATGGCCAGGTGGCCTCACCTGCCCTGGGCCTTGTTACAGAAGATAAACCCATTGCAGGTAGAACATGTGACTGTTTGGGCTCGTCACGTTCCCTCCACTGCATTGAATGTCCCCTGAGGAGCATGAGCACAACCCAGGGGTGCAGACCCCAGGCCCATGGCAGGCACCCCAGCCACCTCAGGTGACAGCTCAGCAGGCGTTGGGACGTGTTGGTGACCAGGGACGTGGCACGTGCAGGCGAAAGCTGCTGTAACTCCTCAGCTTCCCTTCTGTCCATTGCATTGTCCACACCTGGTTTCCCTCTCCCCATCCCAGCCAGTGAACCCCTCTCTGCTAAACTGCTTGGATGCTCTGTTGCTTGGCCTGCCATTTTCCCTGAGCTGATGCTCCTTTGTTATTTTCCATTGTTAGAATGGTGTCAGCACCTCCCTGGGGACTCCCTGTGCTGGGAGATCTCTTTGTTGTCTCATTATCAAACATTCCATGTGAGATTTGCCCTTTACCATTATTTTTTTAATGTCTTTCTCAGTTCTTTTTATAGCCAATACAAGAGGTTTTAATTTCAGAAGGTAATTTATGTCAGGCCGGGTGTGTGGTTACCACAGATCTGCTGATTCCATTGGGAATACCCACCCTCTACACTCAGCATCCTGGGACACTCTGTCTGCTAGGTCTATGTTCACTTTCTTCTTATTATTATTCTGCTGAAATGTTTGTAATCTGTAAGAATCAGCTGGTCTTGGGAAGATTCATGCTTGTGCAGTAATCTAGGAATTAAAATTTTTATTTAACATTTTTTTAAATAGAGAAATAAAGGTTTGTTTGGGATAACTCTGTCGAATATATCAGGTATATGGTAAAAGGATCAGACCCAGGACAAAAGCTGAGGTGGTACTTGAATCACTGCAAAGTGTTTTCTGTCTTCTTTGCATTACAAGCTCAGCAAGCAGAGCATAACCCTTATACTCAGCACCCCTGATCCCCACCTACTCTGAAGTCACAAGACAATCCATGTCTAAACTTAGACCCAAAAGCTGAGGCAGTGTCAGGAAGCTGGGAGTTCTGCTGTTCAGGGCTGCTCTGGTGCCTGCAGGTGTTGGCTGTGTCGTGGCCTGACACAGATCCCAGTGTTACAAATGCCTCCTGAAATGCTTGTCAGGTGTTAATCCGTTTAACACAAACACTGCACAGAGCCTTGAGTCATTCAGGAGCTTCTGTTTGGAAGGAAAAACAGACTCATAGGCTAAAGGGAACAGGCAGTCAGCTGGTGTAGTTGCAAAAATCTGGAGTGATGTGAAATATTCTTGGGAAGCAGAGCTGCAGCTTTTATGGATGATACAAGCCAGAGTAGCCTATAAAAATATTTAGAAAGGGGAAGGTGCTAATTTCTGCTGGGAAAACATGGCAACAATCCAGTCTATTCCCACTGGCAAAGGAGGTTTGTTGCCTGCAGCTCCAGTAGCATTTCTGCCCCTGGGGACAGTCAGCAAGCTCGTGCTGCTGTTCAGACCTTGGTGGGCCTGAGAGGGATGTTGATGTTGATGTTCCTCCTCCCTTGGTGCTCCTGGCCCTGAGCCTGCCCCTCCCAGCTCCTCATGGCAGCCCTCGCCACCCTCACTGCCCAGGCTCTCGGTGTGGAATGAACCAGGTGAACCTGCTGTTTCTGAGCCAAAAACCAGAGACTCTTTGTCTTTGCAGTTATGAATGACATCATCACAACCATGTTCAATAAAAAATTCATGGAAGAGCTGTTTAAACCACAGGAACTCTATTCCAAGAAGGCCCTGCGGACGCTGTACGACCGGCTGGCTCACGCCTCCATCATGAGACTGAACCAGGCCAGCATGGACAAGGTAAAGGGGCCCTCCTGCCCAGCCAGGGGGGCTGGGCCCCTGCTCACAGGTTCCTGATGGCCAGAGTGAGGGCAGGGCTTCGTGTCACTGGAGTTTTGGAGCATTGTGTAACAGCCCCTCTTCCCATTCCCTTTCTTTTGTAAAAATGCTTCTCAGCCAAGGAAGCTTTGGGGAATTTCATGGTAGTGTCAGAAACTTCAGAACTAAATATTTCTGCCTTAATATCTAAATGTTGAATTTTGAGAGGTTCAATAAGCACTCCTCAGGTTTCTCATACTTTGTAATGTGTATTAAAAATATACACCTGTGTGAGGGTGTATAGATGTCTGTATTTCTGTGCTGACACTCACTGTTTTGCAGTTGCTGGTGTTGGAATTTTTCCCTGCAACCAGTGTATCCAGCAGACAGCTCAGGACCTGGGTTTCCTGGGAGGCTTCTGCCCAGGGCCCCCTGTGGCTGAAGTTGCAAGTAGTTTTAAAGGGAGCTGGATGAACCTGCAGGAGGGCTGACAGTGCCATTGCAGGGGCCTTATTGTCTTAGGAAACAAAGCTGAGGTGGTTCTTCTGACCATGGGCAGGTGCCAGTCTGTGTGTCTAAACCCCTTTCCACATCACCACGGGGTCACCTCAGCACTGTCACTCTCAGTCTTGTGTTGGAACCAAAATTTCCCCGTGTCACTTTGCAGCTGTACGACCTCATGACCATGGCTTTCAAATACCAAGTGCTGCTGTGCCCTCGGCCCAGGGACATCCTGCTGGTCACCTTCAACCACCTGGACACCATCAAGGATTTCGTGCACGATGCTCCTGGCATCCTGAACCAGGTGGATGAAACTGCCCGACAGCTGATTGAAGTAAGAATCCTTAGGAGATGGTGGGACACACTGTGCCTGGAGGTTTGGGGTTTTTTTCCAAGCTAATCTTGGGGACTAAATATGACATCAGTACATGCTGGGGAGGCTGGGACATTCTCAGCCTCAGAGAACCATCTGAACAACCCTTGTCTCTTTTCAACCTGAGGGAGACAAACTGCCCCCCAGGTTAGCAGCTTTTGATCTTGTAACTGCTGGAGTTTTCTGGACAAAGAACAGGAGTGTCCCAGTGAAAGGGAACTGATCCCATGCAACATTAAAAGTTCTGGGAAGTCACAAAATATTTCCAGAGGGCTTCTGGGCAGGGAGATGTCTACGAGTCAAGTGTTATTTTTCTACTGGTCCAGTTTAAATCAATGTTGCTGGGTCAGCCTGGTCAAAGTCTCCACTGACTTCATCACAGAAATTAAATCAGACTCTGAGTCACAGGTAATAATAACTGACCAGCAGTTATAAATAATGACCAGCAGCCTTCCTTTCCCATTTCCCCTTCCCCTGCCACCCAGGTACCATTTTTGGCTTGTTTTGCCGTGAGGGGGTGGGATGTTGTTCTGCTTCCAGAGCATCACAGGATGGTTTTTCTTTTCCAGACTTACAGCCCACTTTCTGCTGGTGAATTTCAGCTCATCAGGCAAACACTCCTCATTTTTTTTCAGGACATGCACATAAGGGTAAGAGCCCAACACAACCAGTCTGTGAGAATGAAAGGGAGTTTGTGTCTTGAGTATCTTGTTATCATGACTCTCTAGGGTGTGAGAATGAAAGGGAGTTTGTGTCTTGAATATCTTGAGTATCTTGTTATCATGACTCTCTAGGTTTGGTTTTGTTGCTTATGCTTTTCAGTCATCTTGATGTGCTTGTAATTTCAGTCTTCAAAATTTCACAAACAGAGCACAGTACATATGTTTGAGTATATTTTTTAAATGTCACATCAGTCTGCCCATCCTCTGGCTTTGGCCTTTATCATAGTCTCAATATATACAGCAAAATCTCTAGGAAACCAATCCCAGCGCAGGCAGGAAGGCTGCCAGATCAGACTTCAAAGAATTCAGGTCAAATGATACATAATTGATTTCCTCAGAGGTGTGATATTCTTTTGCAGGTCTCCATCTTTCTGAAGGATAAAGTGCAGAACTCTAATGGTCGTTTTGTGCTGCCAATATCAGGCCCTGTTCCGTGGGGCACCGAAGTTCCAGGGCTCATCAGGTGAGCTCTGAAGGTCCCCAGGGTCTGGTGGGAGTGAACTGGGGCTGTCACTTGTGTTGCTGGGGGAGCTATTGAAAGGGCAGGAGTTGGGACTAAGTCACTCAGCAGTGAAATGTTGTTCCTCTATTCCAGTAGAGCAGCTATAAGTAATTTATCCTTTAAAACAGGCATTTACCAACATAAAAGGTAGGGATTTATTCCTACATTGTGCAGTAAGCAGAGGAAGGCAGTGCTGAAAATCAGTACTAAATATGTTTCTATCTTGATTTGTTTTTAAGGATATTTAATCACAATGGAGATGAAATTAAAAGAACTGAATTCACCACTGAAGGAAATTATTTTATTCCACAAAGGGAAGGATCTTTTGATCTTTATGGAGACAGAGTCCTCAAACTTGGAACAAATATGTAAGTCATTTTTGTCCTACACAGAAACATGAAGTAGATGTTGATGGTTGTATATTTGTTCAGAAGTACCTCTTCAGCCAGGTGGTTTTTTGCCTCCTTCACTACAACCAGCCTGACTTTTATGAAGTGATGTCCTGAAGCAGAACACATGTGGATAGATGTGTATAAAGAGCTGTGGCAAAGAGCAAAATTTGATTTATGTCCACAGTAGAGCTGAGTAAAGAGTGTTCTCACCTGGTACTGCACACTCTGTGAAATGTAATTGAATGGAACTGCAATCCAGGGATCCTTTCCTTTCTCCCTGTTTGCCAGGAGAAAGGTTAACAGGAGGTTTCCACACAGGAACAGAGAGCAGTTCTTGCTTTGTCACTCTCACGTTTTTATGCCTCAATACTCCACAAACCTGAACTGCAACTTCTCCTTTCACTTATTTACAGTCTTCAGAAAAATATCCTAACACCATGTTCAGGCCCTGTGCTGCTTGCTCCAGTGCCTGTGTCTCATACCAGTCACAGGCTGCTCTTCCTGCTGTTTTCCCCCCAGGTACAGTGTTAGTCGGCCTGTAGAGACACATGTATCAGGATCATCCAAAAACCTGGCATCCCAGGCTAAGGTCAGTGCTGCTCTGTTTCTGTCATGGCTAACTAGTCTGTATCAGCAAGTCTTGCAGCTGGTCACATCTGGTGGGAGTGTTTCCTCTGAGCAGTTTCACCACATCCACCAGATTTTACCCCTGCTTCCCTTGTCTCCTCACACATGGGATCACTGGAGGAAACCCCCGTGTCTCTCATCTCCAAACCCTGTACTTGGCAGTTGCACCATCCTCCCCTTTGTCCATCTCCTTTCTCACAGAAACAATAAGCATCTTTTTAGTCTACAGTTATGGGATAACTTCAGGGGAACTTGGTCTGTTCTTCTCAGAGCCTCTTCCCACCCTTTTGAGCCCAGACAAGGGTGCATTTTCCTGTAGAATCTTGCACTTGTGCCCTGGCGTTCTTGTTTCCTATTTGAATCTCTTCAGAAAACACAAAGCTGGTTTTACAGATTTCTCAGCTTTTTAAGCTGGAAAATTACCTTGTCCTGGTTCTATAAATCCAAGCAACCGTTGTAAATACACCCCTGATAATTACTAGTTATCTGCACAATCTGTACCACTCACAACGCAGAAATGTGCTTGGATGACTCTGCAGAACGTTTCTGTTGTATCGGGAAGCACAGAAATGTTTGCAGTTCCCATCTCATCTCCCTGGTGACCTGACCAATGACCCCGTTGCTGATTTCTGCAGGAGAACGTAGCCCCTAACCCCCTGGCTAAAGAAGAACTGAACTTTCTGGCCAGGCTGCTGGGAGGTGTGGATGTGAAGAAACCTGCTGGGAGCGAGACAGGATTTCGACTGAATTTGTTCACAACTGACGAGGAGGAGGAGTATGGGCTGGTCCTTGTGGGTGTGGGGCTGGTGGGGCAGTGCCACGTGGGCAGCCCTGGGGACAGAACAGCAGGTTTTAGCGTTTTGTTATTGTGGCCCAGATGGTCCCTGCAGGAGCAGCCCTTCCAGCTCCTCTCCCCCATATATTTCAGAGATAAGAATTGAACTGATGCGTGTGACAGGCTGGGACAGCTCAGCCCCTCCTGGCGGGGAGCACAGCCCCGTGAGACCTGGGGTTCCCTCCTGCAGAGAATGGTTTTATCTGCTTTTCATCTCAACTGCCTATTCCTGCTAAAAAATTCTACACGTAATCTAAACCATAGTAAGACAGGGAAAAGTCTCCAAACCGGGGTCAATACATTAACTTGCCCAGTAGGAACAAGTATTGACCAAGCTCCTGGGGAACCCGATCTTTGTCATTTGTGTCCCTCCATGAGATGAAACACTTTCTTCATGTTTTCCATCCAGACGTGCTGCCCTGACCAGACCAGAGGAGGCATCGTACAAGGTTGTCAACATAGAAGCCAGGCAGGTGGGTACAGCGCTGCAGGGCTGCTCAGTTCCTGCCTCCCAGGAGCTCCGTCCCGCCCGCAGTAGTAGCCTCAAAAAAAAGACGTTTTTCCTCCATTTCAGTTCAGCTCACGGGTAAGATGAGGTGGGTGGATCACCTGCCTGCGGGGGTGCAGCCCGCTGGGAGGGGGTTCACGGGCACCAGTGGGCAGCCGGGC